CCTTTTTTTGGGGGGGTTTGTTCCCCCCCCCCCCCCCCCCGAAATGATTATAATTAGCATTTTAAAGATTTTCTTCTGGACTATGAAGTCTGGAAACAAACTTTAAAAAAACAAAAAAATCAATAGTAAAGCACTGATTACACTGCAGGATATACTAAAAATACAATAAACTTTGCAGTTTATAACTTCTGTAAAAGGAATCTGTTGTACTTTTATATTAGTTTGTTTGTTGTGGTTTAGATAACATTATGCAAATTTGGGACTGGTTGTAAATGCCCGTTCAACAGGAGTTGTCACTGAGACACATAACATTTTATTCAAAGCTAAGAAAACATCATAGAATTAGACTAAGAAATTCCCTGAATGATTATACAGAAACAAGAGGAAACAATTTTTTACCTGTAATGAGAAATTATGAATAAGTATAGGAGTTTGCTCTGGAATTTTGCTAATGGGAATTTAAACTATGCCTGTCCAATATACAGTCAGTTTTAAAAGGTTGAGTCTGAATGATGACTGCTAAAGCTTTCTGAAGTGCTTTACGAAAAATTTCCCCTTTCACAATAGGAACCATTTAAAATGAATGAAGACATCACTTTAAACTTCTCAAAAAGTATATTACAATACTTATGAAGGAAGTAGCGAAGCAATCCTTTAAGTTCTCTATAGCTTTGCAGCTAATTGCCCTCAAACTACAAAGTAGTTTGAAAACCAACTACTACTACTTTTAATAATAAGATGCAAATCAAGGAGAACTTTATTTTAAACCAATTCTGCAAAACAATTCAACGATACCATACTTTATAAAAATACTTAATTACATAATAAAACGCATTAACTATTATATAAAAGTGTGAATGTGAACTTTAAAACTCTTGGTTAGGGTAAGATCCACATCAAGGTCTCGAGGTGAAACAAATAAAATTTCATAAACATACAAACTTTTTGGAGAAGTTTTATAATACACTACCATTTACAATGAACACACTCATTAAGTTAGTGTTTTATTCCTTTACTATACAAATGTTATTACAAGGAATTATTCCATTCAGTAATTAAAATCCAAATAATGCCAGCATCATTTTCTGGCATTTTTGTTATAACCGTATTAATACACAAACTTGTATGATTGTGTTACCATTTTAAAATATTTAGAAAAATTACAATTCCATGTTTTTTATTATTTTTACATAAAGCCCTTTTAAAATTTGATAATCACAGATGAGATGAGGGAAAATGGGAAAATAATGGCACTGTTCTTACAGATCCATTTGGTAGAGGGATTCAGTACAAAGCACAGTGTAAACACATGAAAAATAACTTTTAGTACCAGAACTACATTACTTACTTTGTCAGTTTTACAATGATAGTATGAATTTTATCACAATATGTGAAAAAACAATTTAGATATTCATCATTGAAGTATGAAAGCTTAATTGGAAACTTTATGCCAATTGTTAAACTGTAGATAATGTCATTGCTCGGTATGTCAGCAGTTGAAGAAAATATAGATGTAGTGTGAAGAAAATATAGATGTAGTGTGAGATGAGCTGGCTTCCAACACAAGTTTGTCATCACAATATTAGGTAGTATTAAATATATTTTGTCCCTCTAGATTTTAAACCTTCACATTTTTTTCTATTTATTGTGACTTAAATAATTCGGGGGGGGGGGGGGGGGGGGGGGGGGGGGGGGGGGGGGGGGGGGGGGGGGGGGTGTGTGTGTGTGTGTGTGCACGCATGTGTATGTATATATATGAGAGAGAGAGAGAAAGAGTGTCTTTATATTCAAGAAAAATCAAAAGTGCAATCAAATCCCTGAACTATGAGACATTTTACATTTGTGGCACTGATCCCTGTTAATACATATTAGCTACGTCTCAGTACCGAATCTGTCTCAGACTGGACTAAAATGTGGCTGTTTACCAGATTAAACTTGATTTTTCAACAACCTTTGTCTTTTCACACAAAACTCATTGTAAGATCGGAGCTTAAAAGATTAAACAATTTTCCCTCTGATTGTATAGTATGGTTTCAAGTTCAAACAATTTTTTTTCAATGTAACTTATGAAATATTACCTCATTTTCTAGTTACCTTCATTATTCTTAATTAGCTACGCAGAAAAACAAATAAAAAGGAAAAAAATTCTCTCATGCTACTTTCCAGTTACATTAATACAAGTATTAACACAGTGCATTATGCTCTCCAATTCCACTACTCGGGTCTATCATTTAATCAAGTTTGTCACACACTGCTTAAAGTTCTCTTTTAACCTCATCTACCCTAATTAAGTCCATGCAAAAGGAAGCTTAAAAATCAAGATTATGAATCAGTATCTCAAATATGGTTGTACCATTTTTAAATGCACTCCCCCCCCCGCCGCCCCCACCAATTCTGAACACGGGAAATGTTATAGAATTGGAATGGAACTGTTTGGTCCCGTAATCTTCCTTTGCTTTAAAGCTTCTTGTCCGAAACTTGCAGTGCATATTTCCAGACAATTCCCCTTCTAACACAGCATTATTAAAACATAAGGGAAATAAAGATTTTTACACACTTTTTTTTTGATATGGTCATGCCAAAACTCATTTTATCCTCCATTATTTTTAGTGAGCTTCCTTTGGACCCTAAAATAAATTGGAAAACACCCAATCGCATCATTGGTAAGTTAGGGTATAACACTTTACAAGTGGTTTTGTGCAACTGTATTATGCAATTCCAGTTTGCCATTAAAAGCGTGCAGAGTGGTGAAAATTCTTTCCTGCAATTGCTTCAAAGAAGCAAGGAATTCTTTGCAAGTTCTTTGCATTTGGCAGATTTGTGCATTTCATGTAGGCTATTGGCTTATAAATTGTCTCCAGGCTGGTACTGTGGTTCTGTAGCAGTAAAGTAGTCTTCCAAGAAAGACTGAATATATTCAAAAGTTGGTCGTTCATCAGGGTCCTTCTTCCAACACAGTTTCATTAACTCATGGAGAGACTCTGGACAACCCTGTGGACAAGGCATCCTGTAGCCACGTTCTACTTGTTCCAGAACTTCCCGATTCACCATCCCTAAAATAAAAGGATTTCAGTAGTGAACATTACACATGAAAATAAGTTCCAAACAACTGTCAGTCTTTTTCTGGCTTTAGATACCAATACCTTCCTATTGATAAAAATATTTTAATCCTCCAAATACTACTAGTATGTTTGGGGAATATTTTTTTCCCCTCAACAGGAAGCTAAACGAAGCTATCTATCTACCAGCTTCATCTGGTACAGGAAGACAAACTCCTTCCAACAACAGGAGGAAACAGAACTGGTTCAGTATTTCCCAATCTTTTTTTATTCCAGTTCAAACATGAAAAATTACATCAAGAAACCTCAAAGGAAGAAGATTTTGAACAGCTTGAGAACAAATGTAAACTGAATAGTTTACGAAGTTGCAAATAAAAGAAATATTCTTTTGGTGTTCATTATATATATCCTATTATATAATCATAACATACTATTCTGTAATAATGGCTTGTTTAATTATTTCTTACCTGGATATGGCACTCTACCCTTTGTTACTAATTCTGTCAGCAAAATTCCAAATGACCACACATCTGATTTGATTGTAAACCGACCATATAATGCAGCCTCAGGAGCTGTCCATTTAATTGGAAATTTGGCTCCTGAAACAATGGAGACAAATAATCATTTCCTACATAAATACCAATTGCTTATATACAAGTATAACCAATATTCTGAAATTAGTTATTACACTGACAAGATTTTAATTCAATTAACAAAGTGAAATTTAAATAGGGTGACTTGATATTCTTTTAATAGAAAGGGATTTTTCAGACTTTAAAATATGAAAACAAGAAATAATGGTGGAACTCAAAAGCAGTGATTTTGGGTGGCCAATTTGATACTTTAAAAGGACGTAACTTTCAGAAAGTCAAGCCCTTTAAAATGTCTCACGCTGGTCACGCAAAATACATAATAATTCTTTAAAATAAGTAATTGTTATCAAATTATTTTTAGAGATTACTTGTAAAATGATGGCTGTAGAAGTTAAAAGCAGAAGAGGTTAGACAACATTCTTAACATTTATTTGTTCACAATCTTTTAACTGTATTGATAAAATACAGTGATGTTATGTTATATATAAAGCTTATAATACGTCAGGGTAACTAGATGTGTTTATCCTGTAAATAAATCTGTCTCACCTTGTCTTGCAGTGTACTCATTGTCCTCTATTAACCTTGCTAAACCAAAATCTGCAATTTTACACACAAGATTGTCTCCTACAAGAATGTTAGCTGCCCGAAGGTCTCTGTGAATGTAGTTCATTCTTTCAATGTATGCCATTCCATCAGCAATCTTTAAAAGAATATTTCATTAAAAGGGTTTTATTTATGATCGTGTTCATTTACCAAAATGTTACATATAAGTTGATCTTTTTAACTCCAGTTTCACTACATAACTGCACAAAGTGTAACTTTATTAGAGCTTAACATTACTGATTTTAATAAAGCTTATTATAGTGCATCTACTGACATATCGTTTATTCCTTGCAGCAGATTATAAAATTTAACAGAGGCTATAAAAAGCATCTAGTAGCTATATTACTCATTTATCTTCAGTTGATATATTTGTTTCATGTTTTTAACATTTTCTATGATGAAAATACATTTTTAAAGTACCTGAGCAGCCATGTCAACTAACTGTGGAAGCTTTAAGTATTTCCCTTCTCCTTCCTTTAGGAAATCTAGCAAGCTACCTGTAAAAGATCACACATTAGGAAAAACACAAATAAATATGAAAAGTTGAAGTGGAAACTCTAGAGGGAAACTTTTCAGACACAGATGAGACATGCCCAACTCAGTTTTAGTGCTTTTGAAAATTTTCCCCCAAGTTTTTCTTTACCCTAACACTGGCCTTATATAACCTAACAGCCATCATAATTACATCAGCAAGTGTCATTAAATTCTTTATGCTTCTCTGAAGATTTTTTTTAAAGACTCTCTCTTCCAGCTCTATTTTGGAATATGAAGAAGTGAGAGAGATAAGTACATGCAAAACCAAGGCATACAAATATTGGCCTTCAGAATAAAATTCTGGGTGCTAGTGGGAGTTTTCCAACACCTGGTCCAAATTTTAATTTTTCTCCACAAAAATCTTAATATTAATCAAATGTTATGGTTAAATATGGAAAACTCAAAGGCCAAGAAGTTCCCAGCTTAACACTATTATACATTCTGTAACAGGGAGCCAGGGACTCCTGTTACTTCAACAGAATGCATCAGGTTAAGCTGGTTGTGCAGGACCACAGCAGAGGAACACAAGCTGGCCCTTAAGTAAGGGGGAAGCCCGTGTGCGTGGCTGGGGAGCCACAAGACAGGAAGAAGCAGGGCTTTGAGGCATGTAAGCCTAAGGCCTGAGCCAGAAGGGGAGTCTGGCCCTGCATGCTGTAGGGAAAGGAGCTCCTGGCAGAAGCTGGCAGCAGGAAACAGACCCAGGGATACCCAAGAGAACAAGACTGACAGCTAAGGGGGAAGTATAGCTTGCAGTGGTGTACTGACCCAGAGTGGGTGAGAACTTTAGGGGGAAGCAGTTTCCTTATATTTCTATTATGCTAAAGGTTAAGATGGGAGGACTGGATTGTGGCTATGGGGGCAGTATGGAGTCCAAAGGGATGCCCGAGAGCTCCCTTTTCAGGTTCTGGGACTCATGGGCAGAGCAGCACACAAGCAGATTTGCCAGGGTCAGGGATCCTAGCAGCTGCCACAAGAGACTGGGGCCAGCAGCCTGAGCCCAGGAAGGTGAGATAAGAGTCAGGGGCCCAGAGCTCAAGAGGGTGAAACCAGGGCTAGGGCCCAGAAGCCAGGCCCAAGACAGTGGACCTGGGCTGGGGGGCACAGCTAGAGGAAAGGGGCCAAAGCCAGGAGGGTGGAAACCCCCACAAAGGTTTGAGACTTAAGGGGCCAAGTGTAGAGTTAGGGCAAGGGGTCCCCTCTCCTAATACTGACTGATGCCTGGGAGACATGGCCAGGGCCATAGGGGAGGATGAAAACCTTGGGGTGCATACTGAAGTGCAGCTCCTCACTGTAACTGAGAACGCTTTGCAGGAAGCCTTCTGAGTTGCAACGATCCCCTGGAACAAACAGAAGTTCACTGTTGGTTCCGGGGGGAGAGGGGAATATAGCTGCTGGCTGCAAGCCTGCATCTGGTTTCCCTTAGTAAAGGCCCCTCCTTCCTGCGAGGCTGCAAAGTTTTCAGGATAGGAGCAGGGAAAGGGAGCAGAGGGAGCTTGTTCTAGAAGTTCCCCAGCCTCCAGTGGGGGCTGAAGGACACCCAGACTGAACTCTTTTTGCTCCCTTGCCCCCTTCCCATTCTGAAAACAGAGACAGGCTGGCAGGCAGACAGACAGACATAAATTACAAAAGACACTGTTTTCAAATGTCTTCATCTGACCCCTCATGCAATGAGGGTTCAGATTTTCACCCAATTGGCCATTTTTGAAGCTGTCTGCAGCTGTGCATTTGTGTTTGGTCATAGCTATAGACTGTTTTCTGTGGCCAGATTGGGCAAAAAATTGTCACTTCTGTCTGCACTCATGGTTATAGATAGCCCATAAGTCACAACTGTGGCTGTTTTAAAGGGGAAACCCCAAAGACTATACACAGAGGAAAGGTACCCAAGGAAGAGCCTATTTAAGCCTCTGAAGGCAGCCTCCCCAAGCAAGAGGTAAAAGATGTGAGAGGCTGGGGAGTGTGGGCAGGCAGGTCTGACCACTAGTGGGGCATCAGACACTAGATGGATCACCTGAACCCCTCTCTCACACATTTAAGAAGCAATTGTCAGTTTTCCATTTATAAAACAGGGATAAAGTTATACTAAACTCTTTTGTAAAGTGCTTTCAGATCTACTCAAGAAAAGCATTGTAGAAAAGCTAGGGAACTCTCCATTACTCTTAAAATGCGAATAGCTATTTATGTCAAATACTACCATTATTTCATAGATTTCATAGACATTAGGGCTGGAAGGGACCTCGAAAGATCATCCAGTCCAGCCCCCCAACCAAAGGGCAGGAAGTCAGCTGGGATCACAGAATCCCAGCAAGATAAGCATCCAATTTACTCTTGAAGGTGTTCAATGTGGGTGCTTGAACCACCTCCGATGGCAGGCTGTTCCAGACC